CATCTTGCAGTGTACGAAAGCGAAGATTGCGGAGGGACCCGCCGCTACACCTTCCGCCGGATCCAGACGACAACCATCAGGTTCCAGGTGAAGGCGGCCCATGACGTGGCCATCTGCCTCTCCCCTGACGACGAGGAGGAGCCAGAGGACATGTACGAGATCTTCATCGGCTGCTGGGGAGGCGGGGAGTCCGGCATCCGCCGCCACAAGGGCGAGGACGTCTGCCGGATCGAGACGCCCGACATCGTGAGCGACGAGGAGTTCCGCAGCTTCTGGATCAAGATCCAGCGCGGCGTCATCAAGGTCGGCTTGGCCTTATCTGTTTAATTATGAGACAAAGCACGGATGAAATATGAATCAAGGGGAAGGGAAATGCTTAGATGCGGATCCAGAATACATGCTAAATACATGCCAAACAGACACGTCTAATTAGCCCCTTCCCCCCGGCCACGCAGGTAGGGCGGTCCGGGCAGAAGCATCCCTTCATGAGCTACACCGACCCCGACACGCTGCTCCACGTCACGTGGTACGGCTACTCCACCGGCTGGGGCGCCTCTGGAGAGTGGATGTTCCCGGGTACGGCCTCGCCTCCTGCTTGTCTGATGTTCGAAACTTGACTGATAGTCCTTCGGGACGAGGCTTTTTAGCCCTCGGGAGGAGTGAGAGAAGGCGACTAACGTGTTTGTCTCCCGCCAGATGACGACGAAGGATCCTCCTCGTCCTCCTCAGCCATGTCCTCCTCGGACTCCGAGGCGGAGGACATCAACAGCCTCGAGGACAGACGTAAGGACTCGCCTGCAACCACGGGGACGGGGCGGGAAGGGGAAGTGAGGAGAGCCTTCAGGAATTAGATCTGAGAGACTGAGAGGGAAGACGGGAGTATCTGAGATGACTGGGCGAAAGAACGGAGAAAATCACGTAACTGCGCTAGCCGTAACAGAGCTCATAAACCACACGTCGTCTTGTACAAGTAGCCAAAATGTGATATTTTCGTTTTTTTTTTTCTCTCTCTCTTTTCTTTTTCTTGTTTACTGAGAGGTATTTGCAATATTCCACAACGATTTTGAACGGCAACACCAAATATAAGAACGACACTGCCGTGAAAATAGCTTGCATGCAGCAAATGATAGTTCAGAAAAGGATGCCAACTTCCCCACATCAGCGTCACACGTTTTCTAAAATGCGGAAACGAAGGCTAATTAATATAAGAGCACAGGCGTGATCACAGAGGCAACCCTCTTGCGATTTAGCCCTCCCAGTCATGAGTGTGCAAGGAATCAATCAAAATACCCGTTGCATGAATGTCAGTCAGTAGCATATCTAAACTTCAAAGACGAATACATAATGAACGGACGAAAGGCTTTATTCCTTTATCCAAAAACTGTCAATGGTTTTGTTTTTCTTTTGATTTTCGTGTTTTTTTCTAGCTTTATATACTTCTCTATCTTTGTTTATCTGTTTGCTTGTCTGTTTTCCCACCCTCTCTCCCTCTACTCTGCTTTCTCTCTCTGTCTACTGTACTCTACTCTACTCTACTCTATCTCTATCTATCTATCTATCTATTATCTATCTATCTATCTATCTCTATCTATCTATCTACTCTACTCTACTCTACTCTACTCCTCTCTCTCTCTACTCTCTCTCTCTCTCTCTCTCTCTCTCTCTCTCTCTCTCTCTCTCTCTCTCTCTCTTCTCTCTTCTCTCTCTCTCTCTCTCTCTCTCTCTCTCTCTCTCACTCTCACCTCTCCTCTCTCACTCTCTCCTCTCTTCTCTCTCCTCTCTCTCTCCCCTCTCTCCCTCTCTCCTCTCCTTCTCTGCCCTTCCCCTCCTTCCCCCTCCTCTCTCTCCCCCCAAATCACGAACCCGACATGTTTCCGCAGCCATCATGTACAAGCGCCCCGCCCGCTGGGTGCCGGCCAAGGGCGGCTACTTCCCGAGGCATCCCGTGTCCGGCGGCGAGGGTCCCGACGGGGAGGTGTACGTCGGGATGGCGCACCACGAGGGCGGCTACATCCTGGGCATGGTCGTCCCCGATCACGCCTGCTGCTACATCCCCTTCGGAGGAGACGCCATTCCCAAGAGCGAGTACTTCGTAAGTGGCACCAGCTGACGGGGCGGAAAGGACCGTCCATTCTGAATTGCTGTCGCTGCGCTTCTGGTTTGGTCTTCAGATTTCACAACGCGTTACAAAAAAAAAATATCCCTATGAATAAATGAATTAATTAATAAAGAACTATATGAATAATTGAATGGATAAGCAAATCAATGATTAAATCAATAAACAAATAGATAAAATAGATAAAACGTAAACAATATACGAAAGCGAGACCTAGGCCTATATCACTTCGACAGATCACCCTTTCCCCCCCCCCCTTGAGACACTACAACCCTCCTCCCGCAGGTCCTCAGCAACCCCGGCAGCGTCACCATCTCGTGGGAGCCTTCGAGCAAGGGAAAGGTCCCTCCCGGCGCTCTTCAGGGAGGAATCAGCGAAGACGGG